CTGGAAGACAAATCAATAGAGATTGGTTGGCTAGTTATGTGCTATGGAGTTGGTTCCAACTCATAATGACCCTGTATGTACAGGGTCGCTATGGGTCGGAACCGACTCGAAGGCACTTAACAACAACAACAATAGGGTATCTAAAGCTATAAATCTTTATGGAAGTAGAAAGTTTCATCCGTCTCCAGCAGAACCGTTGGTAGTTTCAAACTGCTGACCTTGAGGTTAGTAGCCCAGCTGGTCATCACTACATTATCAGATTAGGCATTATAAAGAATAGAGAGGGAAAAATGATGAAAAATGATCAGAGTCTCAATAAAATGTAGTATTCCATTGACCACACAAATATACATATAATGGAAGTATCAGAAGGTGAGAAAAGAAAGAAAGGAGCTCAAAAAGTATTCTAAGAAATAATGTCTGAAAATGCTCAAATTTGATGATATTATTAATCTAAACATCCAAGAAGCTAACAAATTTTGAGTAGAATCCAAGCAAAGAGTCCTGCACCTTGACACATTATAATCAAGATGCTGGACTCCAAACAAAGAGAAAAATGTAAATGTAGCAAGTGAAAAATGATTAGTCAGGTACAAGGGCATCTGAATCTTTGCTCAGAAACAGTGGAGGAGAGAAAGTAGTGAGATGTCATGTTCAAAGTGGGAAACAAAAAACAAAGATTAAATTGACAATCAAGAATCTAATAACCATCAAAACTATTTTCTCAAAAATGAAGGTTAAAGGAAGAAATTCCCATATAAACAAAAACTGAAAGAAACTGTCACTTGGAGAACTGCCTTACAAATAATACTAAAGTAAACTTTTCAGGCTGAAAGCAATTGATAATACCAAGGTGAGTCAAAAATTATCCACACTCTGGTTATATGAAAACACCCATCCACATTCAGGGCTGATGACAACATTGAGCATGCACATGAAATGATTCTATGACCAGTGACAGTGGGTAAAGTCTCAAATCCTTTGCAAATCAGCCATGGCTCTGCCTATGAAATAATACATGACAGGCTTCAGGTTCAAGAGACAGGTACTGAAACACTCACAGAAGAGCATAAACAGAAGTGTTTGCACACTTGCAAACAAAATTTGAATCCGCACTCAAAGGAAGGTAAAAAGTTTCTTAAAAAAAATTGTGACTGGTAATTAGACACGGATTCATCACTAGTAGCCTGAGAGTAAACATCAGAGTATGGAATGGAAACATTCTCAATCACCAAACAATAATAAGTTCAAAAGTCAACAATCAGCTGGAAAATTGATGCTTACAATTTTCTGGGACTCGCAAGGGGCCATATTGGAACACTATCAGGAAAACGTTTCAACAATTAACAGTGCTCATTACGGTGAGATGCTCACTGAAGAGCTGAAGCCTCTACATTGGGATTAAATGCAGAGGACTGCTATCCAAGGGCATTGTGATCTTGCATGAAAATGCACATCTGCACACCTCTGCCCACACTGCTGACACTCTGCAAAAATGTCATTTTGAGGTGTTAAAGCATCCTCCCTGTAGTCCTGATGATACTCCATTAGACTTTCACCCATTTGCTCCATGAAAGCAGCACTTTGAGGACAAAGATTCACCTCTGATGAAGAAATGAAGACAGTGGTACGTTTGTGGCTCACAACTCAGCCTGAAACATTTTTAAATAAGGGAATATGAAAATTTGTTGACAGATGGACAAAGTATATTGAAAAGCAAGGAGATTACATTTAAAAATTATATACTTAGCTTTTCTAAAAGTTGATTAAAATAAATTCTATAGCCAGAGTGGGGATAAGTTTTGACTCACCTTCATATATAGTAATGTGAATCAACACAAAAACTAAATGTACCAGGTTAGGTAAATTATGTAGGTACTATTAAAGACAGTACCTATTGATATCAATGGGTTAAAAGAGCATTTAGAGTGACTATACTACATAAGAGGGAGCTCTGGTAGCATAGTGGTTACGAATTGGGCTGCTAACCTCAAGGTCAGCAGTTCGAAACTACCAGCAGTTCCGTGGGAGAAAGATGAGACGTTCTGCTCCCATAAAGATTTACATACAGCCTTGGAAGCCCTGTGCAGGGTCACTATGAGTCGGAACCGACTCCACGGTACTTTACAACAACAACACTACATAACACTATTCTGTAAAACAAAAAGAAGTAAACAAACATATATACAATGTTTTATCTGGTAGTAGCAAAATACACATGGAACAGTCTTCAGAATGAATAGACCATGTTTAATAGACTGCAGGCTTTATTTAAGAAACATAATAAGCCTCAATACATATAAAACAATTGTAATCATTCAGTGTACATTTTCTGGTGGTAAGGGAATTAAATTAGAAATCAACAGAAGGAAATCTGGAAAATTTGAAAATAAATGGGAATTAGATAACACATTCCTAAATAATTAATGGGACAAAGAAGAAATCAAAAGGAAAAATTAAAAAGATCTTGAGATGAATGAAAACACAGCAGAGCGAAACTCAGGGGATGCAGGGCTTTGAGGGAACTGTGAAGCTGGAAATGTCTACATTTAAAACAGAGAATTGCTCAAACCAATATCTTCATTTTCTTAAGACTGAAAAAGAAGAGCAAACTAAACCCAAAGCAGATGGAAAGAAATAATGAAGACTGTCAGAGTGCAAAAAATTTGAGTGAATAAGAGAGAAACAAAACAACAAAATAAAAAGAGCTGCTTCTTTAAAACAATCAACAAGAGTGACAAATTTTCAGATAGAATGAAAAAAAAATACATCCAAATCTGATTAAATCAAGATCCCCATAAACTGGTCTTAGGTGTGTTGCTGCTCAGATGGGGCAGCATAGTGTATGGAGCAATGGAAAGCACTAGGTTTAGATTCTGAAAGTCTAGGTTCCAACTCAGCTTTTCTATGACCTGGTTATTTAGCCTCAAGCAACTTGCTGAAAGTGAAGAAGACTTAAAATATTAACTGATAAAAATCAAAGAGCACAGCCTTCGGTATGGATTACATCTCAATGTAAAGAAAACAAAAATCCTCACCAATGGTCCAATAAACAACATTTTTATCAACAGAGAAAAGATTGAAGTTGTCGAGGACTTCATTCTTCTTGGATCAACTGTTAACACTCATGGAAGTGGCAGTCAAGAAATCAAACAACATATTGCATTAGTTAAATCTGCTGCACAAGACCTTTTTAAAGTGTTGAAGAGCAAAGCTTGAGGACTAAGGTGTGCCTGACCCAAACCATGGTATTTTCAATAACTTCATATGCATGCGAAAGCTGGACAGTGAATAAGAAAGACCGTAGAATTGATGCATTTGGGTTATGGTGTTGGAGGAGAATATTGAAAGTGCCATGGGCTGCCAAAAGAACCAATAGATCCATGTTGGAAGAAGTGCAGCCAGAGTGCTCCTTGGAGGCCAGGATGGCCAAACTTCATCTCTCATACTTTGGACATATTGTTAGGAGGGACCAGTCACTGGAGAAGGCTATCATGTTTGGTAGGGTGGAGGGTCAGAGATAAAGAGGATGACCCCCCATCAAGATGGATTGACAAAGTGGCAGCATCAATGGGCTCAAGCATGGCAGCGATAATGAAGCTGGCTCAGGATTGGGCAATGTTTCGTTCTGCTTTGCATAAGTCAGTACCAACTCGATGGCACCTAACAACAACAACAATTTGCTTAACCTCGCTGAACTCTAGTTTCACCAGCTAAAAAAACTATAAGATTGGATTAAACAATATCTACAATTTTTCTGAGAGTCCTGGTGTGGCACTGTGGGCTAATGCGCTGAATTGCAAAATTGGTTTGAACCTCAAGGTTGGTGGTTCAAGCTTACTACCAGATGCTCCTAGTAAACCCTATAACAGGGTCGCTAAGAGTCGTAACTGACTCGACAGCACTGACCAACAATACTAACAATGAATGACCCTAAATAATATTTGAGCAGATCCGATATATACTATCTGCTTTAGGAAGGACAAGTAGGTTTCAACTATATTGTAACTTTGGTTGGTTGGTAGAGATTGTCTGCAAAGCTGTGTGAAGAAGATCTGAGCATTCTTATGGACTCAGCAGCCAAAATGCTATTATCTACTAGCATTGCCTTGGGGAAGAATGGGAGCATGATGCAATGCCATTCTGCATATTTCAATTCTCAGGCGGATGCATAGATGTAGATCTTAAATTCTTTCCCTACCATTTTTTTTTTTCTTTTTAATGGAGGCAGGGGTGGTTCATTGGTAGAAGTCTCATCTTCCATTTGGGAGACCTGGGCTCGATTCTTACACCTCATTCATAGCCTCCAGCCATCTGTTTGATGGACACTTCCCTGAAGCTGTGATGTTGAACAGGTTTCAAAGGAACCTTCAGACTGAGACCAACAAGAAAGAAAAGCCTTGAAATCTGCTTCTGAAATTAGCCAGCAAAACCCCTGTGGATCACAACTGTGCAATTTGCAATCCCCCTGTACCAGACAGTGTTGTGTTGTTTTGTGCATGAAGTCCCCATGAGTGGCGGGAATGAGGAAAGTCTCCAGAGAGCTGAACCAACAATATGCTTTTTCTTGGTAGCACAATGCTCCCAAAGTATTCAATGTTAATTAACTGAGAAGGAAATATATCAAAGTGTATCTGCTTTGGCAGCACAATAATGCACTGGACCACAAGGTCGGTTTAAACTGCAAGGTTGGTGATTCAAACTCACCAGCCGATCCTTGGAAACCCTATACAGGATGGCCATGAGTCCGAACTGACTTGATGGCTCTTAACAACAACAATCACAGTTGGTATAGCCTGATGGAATGAAAGCAAAACTTTTAGCAGTTGCAAATTCAGAATTCAGAAGGCGTTTTCTTACCTGTTGAAGGAGTAGTGAATTATAACATCTTAGCTAGTTAGCAGGTATCCTAAAAGCAGTTCCAAGAATGAGTTGGACTGTCAGTGAGGTCCTTGTTTGCAACCATGTTCATTTCTTGCTTCTGTCAAACTCATCCACAGTGTGGAACTCCGACAGAAGCCCCTGAATAAAGATCAGTGTCTTGGAGAGAAGCCAGAGGAGCTGGAGACAGGAGTCTTTTATCACTGCCACCACCACTTCAAGGCTGCTGAGAACAGGGCAAAGGAACAAGTCCATGCCAAGTGGAAACTCGCCACTGCTTCGGCAATATGCTTCGTTTTCATGATTGCAGAGGTCGTGGGTGAGTACTTCTCAAAAAGGCGTCTCTGATTTAACAAACAAACAAAACTCTGCACCATGACAAGAGGGGCACCTAAGTTCTTTTAACAGAAGCTCTTGTGTTTTCTGTAATTATAAAGTAAAAATAGCTCATTGTCGCCAACTTGGAAAATAGAAGGAAAGAAAATAAAATTCATCACTATCTCACACTTGAGTGATAGCCTCTCAAGACATGTGGAGTATTTTCTATTAATATTTCACAGTTTTTATATAATTGAGAGCATACTGAATGGTTTTGACCATGCCGACGAATACATTCTTAATGCCTGAGTAACATTCTATAGTATTTTGTGCTGTGATTTACATAACCATTGTTAGAAATTTAGGGAGTTTTCCTCTGCCTATAGTCCAATACTTAACAATGGTATAATGAAAAACCTTGACTAAAACTCTACCTGCTTTTCTAGTTTTTCCTTTTGAAATGATTTCTAAAAGAGAAAATAATTGGTTGAAAGGCATACATATTTTTAATACTTTTGATGCATATTGCCAAACTGTTTCCCTGAAAATTCAAAACAATTAATATGCCCATCAGCTCTGCATAAGAATGATTCAGTCTCCAAACCTGTATCAGAATTTATTGGCATCTTTTCAGAATCTTTATTAATCTATAGGCAAAAATGATTTATTTTAATATTTATTTATTTGTTACTGTTAGAATATTTTCTGCTTATTTGCTATCTATAATTTTCTCTGTTCACACATGTTCACTTGTCTTTTGTTATCTGTTGCTAACTTACTTAATGAGCTTTGTAATTCTCCATATTGATCTCTGGGAACTCTTTATGTAGCTAGGATGTCATATTTGTTATTAATACTTTTCCAGTTTCTTGTTTGTATTTTAATTTATGTTTAACTTTTGATTTAACATTTAAAACTTTTTATATATATTGAATTTTATGTTGACTCTTTTCCTACTTCACCACATTACTCACTCACTGCCATAGAGTCCATCTGACAACATAGAACTGCTCCGGTGGGTTTCAGAGACTATAAATCTGTATATGGGCAGACAGCCTCATCTGTCTTCTGAGGAGTAGCTGGTAGGTTTGAACTATCTACCTTTTGCTAATAATCTAATGCTTAACCCACTGTGCCATCAGGACTCCTTTGTTGTTACTGTTATTGTTAAGTGCCATTGAGTTGGTGGTACTGGGAAACCCTGTATATGGTTTCCAAGGAGTAGCTGTGGATTTGAACTGCTGACCTTGTCAGATACCAGTGCAGTGCTTAATCTATAGCACCAAACCACCAGGGTCCTTTAAGGGGTTAGTGGTCCTTCCCCATGTAATGCATAGATAAATACTTAGTTTTTTTCTTCATATTTTTGCAATTCATCTTTAAATCAACCCAAACCATTTTTTGCTCTAAGGATTAAAACCCTTTTTCTAAACATTAACAAAAATTTCAGCCTCGTTTATAAAATAATCATTCTTTCTCTCATTGATTTTTTTTTTTTATCTTTCTCTTATCATTAATAAAGAAATTTTAACAGGATTGGAGGAAGATTTATTAACTTGCAATATGCAGATGATACAGTCTTGCTTGCTGGAAGCAAAGAGGACTAAAAATACTTACTGATGAAGTTTAAGGACTACAGCTTTTCACTATGGACTACACCTTAATGTAAAGGAAAAAAAAAAAAATCCTCACCACATGACCAATAAGTAACATCTTGTTAAATGTTAAATGGAGAAAAGATTGAAATTGCTGAAGACTTCATTTTGCTTGGATCCACAATCAACACTCATAGAAGCAACAGTCAAGGAATCAAACAATGTATTGCATTAGGCAGATCTGCTGCACAAGACCTCTGTAAAGTGTTCAAGACAAAGATATCACTTTGATGTGCACCTGCCCCATGTTTTTTTCAATTGCATTATATGAATGTGAAAGTTAGACAGTAAGGAAGACAGTAGAATTAATGCATTTGAGTTATGATGTTGGAGAAGAATGTTAAAAGTACTATGGACTTCCAGAAGAAGAAACCAATCTGTACCACAAGAAGTACAGTCTGAATGCTCCTTAGAAGCAAGATGGCAGGACCTCATCTCTCATGCTGTGAACATATTATCAGGTGGGACCAATGCCTGGAAAAAGACATTATGTTTGGTAAAGTGGAGGGTCAGAAAAAAAAAGACCCCCCAATGAGATGGATTGACACAGTGGCAGCATCACTGGGCTCAAATATCACATTTGTGAAGATGGTACAGGAAGGGGCAGTATTTCTTTCTGTTGTGCATAGGGTCACGATGAGTTGGAACTGACTCAATGGCACTTAACAACAATAATAGGAACTAGTCTAAGGTGTTTAATTGTTTTGTGTTCCTATTTTTCTGCTAGTGACATAACCTAATTAATGCAAATGTTATGATAACTGTTGGTCTCTTCTCATTATTTGTTTAACAAAAAAGGTAATGGCTATTTATGCCTGATTATGATAAACACTGAAATGTGAACCACAGGTCAGCAGTTCAAGCCTACTAGTTGCTGCACATGATAAACATGAGGTTTTCTGCTCTGACAAATAGTTAAAAGTCACAGAAATCTTACGTAGGGTCACTGCAAGTCAGAACCGACTTGACAACATGTAACAACAACAAATCATTCTATTAAACAAATTAAACCTGAGAATCATTTTATCTTCTCTTAAAATGTATCTATGACTTTATTTGTATATAAAATTAGGAACAAACATTTAAAAAATATCAAGTTTTCTTATCTAGGAAGATGTTGTTGTTAGGTGCTGTCTAGTTGGTACTGGCTCATAGCAACCTCATTCATAACAGAATGAAACACTTCCTGGTCTGTCAACATAATAATCATTGCTATGTGTGAGCCCATTGCTAGTGTCATTGTACCAATCCTCTTGTTGGGGATTTTCCTGTTTTTCTTTGACCCTCTACTTAACCAAGCATGATGTCCTTTTCAGGGACTGGTCCCTCCTGATAATATGTGTGAAGTATGAGAGACAAAGTCTGGCCACCCTGGCTTCTAAGGAGCATTCTGGGTGTACATCTTCTAACGCAGATTTGTTTGTTCATTTGGCAGTCCATGGTATTTTTACTATTCTCCTCCAACATCACAACTCAAATGCATCAGTTCTTCTACAGTCCTATTTATTCATTGTCCAACTTTAACACACATATAGAGGTTATTGAAAATACCATGGCTTGGGAGAGGTGCACCTTAGCTTAGTTCTCAAACTGACATCTTTGCTCTTCAACACTTTGAAGAGGTGTTGTGTAACAGATTTGCCTAATGCAATACGTCTTCTGATTTCTTGACTTCTGCTTCCATGAAGAATGAAAATGAAGCCTTTGACAACTTCAATCTTGTCTACATTTATATTGATGTTATTTAATGGCCCAATGGTGAGGGTTTTTGTTTGCTTGACTTTGAGGTGCAACCCATACTGAAGGCTGTGTTTTTTTGTTTTCATCAGTAAATATTTTAAGTCCTCTTCACTGTCAGCAAGCAAGATTGTATCATCTGCATATCTCAGGTTGTTAATGAGTCTGTCTCCAATCCTGATGCCATGTTTTTCTTCATATAACCCAGTTTCTCGGATATTTGCTTTGCATAGAAATTGAATAAGCATGGTAAAAGAATACAAACCTGGTGTACACCTTCCCTAATTTTAAACTATTCAGGGTTCCCTTGTCCTGTTCAAACGACTGCTTCTTGGTCTATGAACAAGTTCCTCATAAGCACAGTTAAGTGTTCCAGAATATTCACTCTCCACAATGTTGTCCATAGCTTGTTATGATCCACACGATCTAAATAATTTTAGAGAAAGTACCATGTGTTTAAGTATTTATCTATGGGGTTGCTGCTTTCATTGTTCTGTGTGTCTTCCTTTGCTGAGTTCATGCTTTTTGTGTTCTTTCTTGTGAGTTTCCTCATAGTTTTAATGCTTCCATGTTCTTCTTGGATTTTCATTTTCTTGGTATGTTGTGAAGTGTTAATTTTCTTTGAGGTTACCTTATAGTCCATTAACTTTTCCCTCCATTTAGTGCAGTCTATTTTATCCTGTAACCTACTTGACCTTCTCACCATCTGGATCTCTTTTCCTCCATGTTTACCTTCTTTTACATTGTAATTGTTTTAATCATAGACTGACCTCCTAGATTCTCTGAATTTGTTCTTATAGTTTTGTTCTGTTCTCGACTCTTCCTTCTGTCGATTTAGTTCTGGGAGTTGCTGCCACATATGTCAAACTCTGGTTGTTGTCTGTTCTTATTCGTTCTCAGTCCACAGAACTCCCTTTAGGATGTTTTGTTGCGCCGGTTGGGTTTGGCAAAATCCCTTAGCTTCTGTTTATCCTGGAATATTTTGATTATACTGTTGTATTTGATTGATAGCTTTGCTGAATAAAGGATTCTTGGTTGGCAGTTTTTTACTTTCAGGGTTTTATATATATATCCCCATTGCCTTCTTGCTTACATGGTTTCGGCTGAGAGAGCCAAGCTTAATCTGACTTGCTTGTCTTTGTATGTAACACTTATGTTTTCCCTAGCTGCTTTCAGGAGTGTCTCCTTATCTTTGATTTTGGAGAGCTTAATTATGATATGTCTTAGTGATTTTCTTTTCCAATGCTGTATCTATCTTATTTGATTGTTCCTGTAGTGCTTTCCTGACTTCTTCCTTATTTTTCTCAACTCCATTGTAAAGTGTTTTGAAACATTTTATAATCATTTTTCTGAATTCCTTCTCAGGCATTTCCAAGGCTTGCCCTCCTTCAGGATGTAGTTCAGGTCTACCTCTAGGTCACTTGTCTCAGACATTTTATCTTGTTGCTGGATGTGTGCTGATATGGTCATCTGCTTTTGCTTCTTGGACATATTTAGTGTTTATCTGTGGCCTTAATACTTAATTGAGTATGTGTTTTGGTATTTTTTATGCTTTCTGATTACTCCCAGGAAGATGTGATCAGGATGTGGGCTTCCCTTTACATTCTTC